TGTGTGTGTGTGTGTGTGTGTGTGTGTGTGTGTGTGTGTGTGTGTGTAAGAGAACATCTGGTTGAGCAGCATGCTTATCGCTGGAGCTTTAGCACGATTCTCCTCATCAACACTCTTCTCTCTCATTAAAAATGCATTTGGGACTGACTCCCCTCGATTCATCATATATTATACATTGTCTCTATTCATGATTGATGAAAAGGTTCCTAAAAATAGAGGAAAAAAGCTGAGGTTGTTCTGTTCCTGGTCGTGTATCACAAACAGCTGATTGTAAACACAGACTCAAACCGCTGAAGTGTCTCCAAGGAAAAACACTTGATATCAGCGTTCATTGACTACTCACTGAGAATTCAACTATAAATCTCAGACCGTTGACTCGCTGAGTGTTTTCATACTATTGCCATGGAAATATTTGTATGTATGAGGGTGTGTGCGCATACATGTNTTCCCAGCTTGAAAGAAACAAAAACTTTGTGAGCTCATAGGGAAAATTTCAGAAACTTAAGGTGCTTTTGCTCAAAATTTGGGTTTTTGTTGCCACTGCTCAAAAAAGTGCTTCAAAAATTATTTAGGATTGTATTTCAGACAGTTTTTTGAAAATGCATTTATCCAATATATTTAGACAAAATGCAATTATTGCAAACACTTTAATCAAAAAATTATATCTGCCTATTTTTCCACAATTCACCTCCTTGGTTTGATGTGACGGGTCACATTTCTATATGCTGTAAATCTCCAACAGAAAACTGTTTGTGTCCTTTTTGCAGTGATTATAAAGGGGTCGTTGTATCAGGACCCTGGGATTACACTCTGTTCATGAAGGCCTACATTGATGATGGTTGCACCAAACTTGTGGACTCAAATACTCCAATAAAGCTGAACCAGCAGGTCTGGGTGAAACTGATAACTGAGGGATTGGATAAAGACGTAGTTGTCCTGGTGACCGACAACTGCTGGGCAACTGATGAACCATCACCTTATGCAGTAAATAAATATGACCTGATAAAGAAAGGGTGAGACTAAGACCAGAGATTTATTCATCAATGAGCTTTCTGATCTGATCTGATCTGATGACTGAACAAAGGGTGTTTCCTGTTTGTGAGCAGCTGCCCTGATGATTCAACAGTGGTGACAAGGAAAAATGGAAATGAAACCTCCAACTATTTCGCCTTCAACATGTTTGAGTTCTCTAGGGGCTCAAATCAGATCTACCTGCACTGTGAAGTGCACCTGTGTGTGAAGAGCACCAACATGTGTGATCCGGTACGCCTTACTGTCAAACACACCTCATGGAGGACATTTCMCTGAATCTGACTGACAAACTTTGTTTCTGTCCTTTAAATTCCAGAACTGCCCCACAAACCGAAGACGCAGATCTGCCAGGTCCAAACATCATTCTCCAGGCTTGATCAGCATGGGCTGGAGTAGTTAGGTAAGACTCAGCTCTGCTGCTTCAGCTTTTACTGTATTTATTCTGATACATGTATGTGTCTTATGTTAGTTGTTATATGTTGTTATATGTTAAGGCAGTGAACAGTGATGCGAAAGTAACAGATAATGGGGGCTCGTCCGGGATCTGAATAAGACTTACAGTTGTGATGTTTTCATTCACTCGTCGTAAARYTTAAAGTGATGTTCACCGTTACTTTTCAATAGTATAGGGATCAAAACTGCGCAAAAGTACAACATTTTGACTTTGTAGTAGATTTACACACACAACTCATGTTGTTTATTGTGATGTACAATGGAAATGTGCTTGGACTCCAGCATAAACACGGTTTATTACATCTGTATTTATTTATGCGTAAACTGTTTTGTGATTTAAAGGTACGGGTTTCAGTAAGAAATCCATGCTAGTCTTTGTGTATGAGGACCCAGGAGTGTTTCTCAGAAGAGACTATTTAAATGTATCTCCTGTTGTCTTCTCAGGTGGTTTTCGATGGTAACCGGATTGATTGACAGGCTGCTGACCTCCATGATGACCCCTGACCTTTGACTGGTCCTGATCCAGAACCAGATTGTGTTTTTCTTTATTGATCCCTGGTGAAGGGGAGTGTGTGAGCTACATGTGATTTCTGTTAGAAGCAGATGAAACACTAACCAGATTTTCTGAGACTACGTCTTCCAGCATGTCTCGGAGCCTGCAGACTGTCAGCTGTTGGATTAGACCAGAGAAATAAGGCAGCAGACATTCACAGTCTGAGAACACAAAGGGATTTACATGATTGACCTGTATATTTCATGGTGAAGGTGTTTCAAGGTGTTAAAATAATCTAACTTTAGGTTCTTGTAGCTGTGATTTATTCAATCTGTTTAAGGTTTAAGCTTATTTAAATTGTTCTAGTAAATTATTTAATGTTTAGATTTTATGTTGTGATTGAATTGATTC